GACGTACCACATCTCATCGATGCCGGACCAGTCCTGGCACTGATCCTCGCTATCTGGAAGACGGCGCGACGCTGACGCAAGCTAGGTGAGTTTGCTTTCACACGAGCAATGGGATTGCCTGGGAACTAGGCAAACATGACGGCTAACATGCGGCAGCCATGAGAACAACCCAGTGGTGGCGGCAGCGCCGGGGCTTTTCAGTCTGCCGACGTTGGCTCTGGCGATGTTCCGGGCCGTTTCGCCACACTACTACGCTATGGAATTGGGCGGCAACATGTGAGTTTTGAAATGCCGAAGTCTCACGTGGCCGGGGTTTTTAGGCCCGGTCTAGGCTTATTTTTTTTTTCTTGGTTGACTAACAGGAGCGACACTAGGCTGCTGTACAACGACGCCATGTATCTGGCGGAGAGGTTAAGTGAGGTGGGCGCGAGGTGGAAGGCACGGGACGATGTAACGCCGCGGGCACGCAACATGCTGCGGATCGACAACGACGTCAAGGGCTTGCAGGGGTTCGCCAACAGGGCGTACACGGGGGAGCTCAGCACGCAGAAGACGGTGCTCGGCGACCTCGTGGGCGGCGAGCAGAGCCTCATGCAGCAGGACGAGATGGACAGCTGCATCGACTCGGCCATGGCGCGGGTGCGGTCGATGGCGGTGACGTGGGAGTCGATTCTCGCGCGGTCGGTGTGGTACCAGGCGGTGGGCGCGCTCGTCGACAGGCTGGCGACCAAGATTATAGCGGACGTCATGGACATGGCGTCGGTGGGCCAGGACGAGGCGTACAAGATTGCCCAGCTCATCGCCAAGGTGACGGAGCTCGACGACCTCTTCCTGCCGTCGCGGTCATGGTCGTCGGCGGCGGCAGCGACGACGGCGGGGGGCCGCGAGCAGACGGCGGCGGATGCGGAGGAGATCCCGGCGACGGCGCAGTACGCGTCTTCGTGGCTGCGGCTGAAGTACCTCAGCGAGGTGCTGCAGTCGAACCTCAACGAGGTCAAGTATCTGTGGTGCGACAGCGAGCTGAGCCTGTACTTTTCGGCGGACGAGGTGGTGGATCTCATCGAGGCGAGTTTTGAAGCGAACGCGCGAACGAAGGAGACGATCCGGGAGATTCGGGAGCGGCCTCAGCCAGTGATGACCTGAGGCCGAGGAGAGACTGGCGCCGCCTGGGCTGCTCGACGTGGCGCCGCTTGGTGGTACCTTGTCAATGGCATGGGGGCACACGAGAATGAACGATTGAATGACAGCCTCCCACCATGTATGTTTCTTGTTTCACCCAAGGTGCGCGCCATCCCTTCATCTGCCCATCCATCCCTCCCTCCCTCCCACCAATTCTTTGGAAAGCAACCTGCTTGGTGTGGGTTAGATCGGTACCTCGTCTGCTATCGACACGCCCCCCCCCCTCCTTCTCCCCCTCCTCTACCCCATTCCGTTCCTGTCCCTGGCCTAAACCCAACCACGCGGTTGGTTTCCAGTTTCCGTTCCCCGCATCCGACAGGGAGAGGAACCCCGCACATCTCCAAATCGTGCTGCTTGGATGTACCTACTGCCCGCCTACTTTACTCACATAGTAGGTACCTAGGCACGGTACCTGGGCAAGGTGCCTACCTAGGTACCTAAGTAAGGTACCTGAGGCTGATTCTGCCCCTCACTCCATCGTGGCCATGGCTCTCCTCACTCCGAGGGCCGAATCTCGACCCAATGGCCGACGCATGTGAAAAAAGGTGTTCCCCCCCAAGCCCCCCTTCTTGACGTGACGCCACGATGAAGGCACCATTCCTCAATCCGCCAGGGAACGCGCACCTTGTTTTCGCGCCAAGCAGCAGGAGCTTCTCCTCCTTACTTTCAGCTACGCGGGTTCAAGACCAGTCCTCCGCACGCCAGCGAGGGCGATATGACTACCTACTTTACCTAGGTACTTTATCTAGGTACCAAGGGTACCTACCTAGGTAGGTAGCCTGCTGTCACGCCGAGCTGCCTGACGGAAGTACTATGCTCCCTACAAGTTTGGTACCTGGAGAATACAGTACTTAGATCAGTCAACGTTTCGTCAGGCCTAAGAGGCAGTGATATCCGAACCCAACGCCCCTGGAACAGACAGGCCTGAGGCCCACCCACCACACCCCTCCTATCGATCCCCCACCAAACCGATCCGCGCAGCGATCCAGAACCATCCACGAACTCCAATCGATCAACGTGTTTTTTTTTTAATGAACCCACCTTGTGCGAGGGACACTCGGCGTCTGGCCCGGCCTGTACCAGTTTTTCCTGCATTGGCTTCCTCTCCTGTTTGAGACCTTTATCTCTCCCAATCATTTTTCCGCCGCGCTACTCATTTTGACAATACATTTGTGTGTGTGTGTGTGTGTGTGTGTGTGTGTGTGTTTGTGTGTGTAAATCATGTCTGTGTATCCATCATGTATCCCTATCTGTATTCATGATCCATCCACCCCTGCATCAACTGCAAGTCTGTCGTGCGCCGTCGCCAAGCCCAAGTGCGACATGTGCGGAACTCAATTCAAAAACGCCAGAACAACCATGAAATCGCAACCCGCCCCAATCCCTCCTCTTGCACGAAACTCCCCCCTATTGGGTTGCCTCGCTGAATTCTCCCGCGCTGACACCGCCGGCGCTCCTCGTCTGCGAAAAGGTCTCGCGTGAAGGCCCTCGGATTCTTGAGCCATACGCAGACAACAGTCGACATGCCCGCCAAGACCGGAGCCGCACAGCCGTCACATGCCAGTAGGAACTCTCGTATACGTAGTGGTCTCGTATACCAAATGAAGCCGAAAGACAGCCTCAAGAAAGAAGACGGTGCCGTGCGGTCACTCTGGCCCCCGAGCCAAAAATACACCTGCCACGAGAAAACGCGCAGGCCACACGGACCTAAATCGCCTGCCGTCGTGAACGCAAACACCCATCAACCACTGTTCTGCCCTCTCCTGCCATCCGCCTAAGGTACCTACCGTAAGTACCTGTAGGCACGTACGAAGTAGCCCGCTACGAGGCTGACAACCAGCCCCGCAACCGCAAACGTCAGTCGCAGACCCCAAAGCCAGCAACCCAGCCAAATATAAAAAAAAAGGAGCAAAGACGCTTGTCGTCTCGGCTCCCAAACTCAGCCCATCCACAATACTAGCAACTTCCAGCCAGTCGGCTCCAGCTCCGTGCGGCCGCCGTTGTAGAAATAAGTACGTCACCCCCCCCCCCCAAAAAAACTAAAGGACCGAAGACGAGAATACAGGCCCCCGGCGACTTGTTGGGAGCTTGGGCGCGCCGCCTCATCCACTTGCTGACCACGTACGACGTGGCGCAACTTGCCGTACCAGATACACGGCCGGTTTAGGGGCCCACGGGGGCTGATTCGACTGGTCGTCTGAACAGCGGACCTGTTCGGCGGATGGAAGGCGGCGAAAGGGGACGTGTACCCATGGCGTGCGTACGCCAGGCAGAGACGCCCCAACAAAGCCCATCATCTCATGTCACGTCACGTCACGTTCGAGGCGAGAGAAAGGGCGTGCTGCTCGCAACCAAAAGCGATGTAATCATGATGAATCTGTGTCGTAGTATCCCGCTCCCGAAAAGCCCGTCAATGAGCTTTGGCCGAATGCCCCCCTCCTCTCCACTCGCTCAATGCTCGCTCGCTCGCTCTTCTGATGTGTCCGAAATGCCCACAATGCTGAGAAAGAAAAAGAATCATGCAAGTCGCGCGCCCCGCTAACCTCGTGAACACAGTCCTGAGCCCACCCCGAGTGTCGAGCCAAGACCACCCGTGCTACGCCATGTGCCAAGTACCCCAGAAAAAAAAAAGAAAACAAAGCTCCGTGCGATCCGTGCAATCCGTGCAACCACATCATTGTCAGTCATGAACGTCCCCAAGACTCCACACAACACAGACCATCGCGTCGAAGGAACTCATTTGACATCTGTGTCCAACCGCCCCCAAGACAGACAAGTGAAAAAAGGAAGAAAAGGAGGCGAGGATATGAAACTTTTTTGGTCCTATGGTAGTCCCCATCCGCGCTCGTCTGGCATCGAATGGTCTCCAAATCTATATCTCCCTGGTCTGCTAGGCACTGCTAAGCACGGTGCACGGCCGGTATGCTTCCTGGTCCCTTGTCCTCGACTCATCCCAAGGCCCGGGGCCGCCCAGTCCATGGGATCGGTTGCCCATCGTTCGCCATCCCGCCCTTGCTAGATATCCTGACAAAGAAAACAGACGAAAAAGCGAAGAGACTACCTGTTCTCCTTGCCCAAAATAATATAGCACCTTGCCCCGCCAAGACCGTCAAGGTTGGTAATGCCCAAGGATACGTAGAATGAAAACAAACAAAGAAAAATGACTTCGAGACATATGCCACAGTTGGTGCGTCTCTAATCCTGGTACGCCGGAGGTAAATGCTTATGGGTATTGTGCAGAACTGATCCGAACTCTGATACGGGGAATCTCTTCGGGTGTGCGTGTGTGTGTCGGCCGTTTCGTTTCGTGGCCCCCCCGTGCCCGTTGCAGGGGAGCTTGAAGAAGTGTGGTAAGGGTGTCGAACAATAGAAAATGAACACCAAAATCTCAAAGGGAAAAAACATATGTGCAGAGAAGTGAAGATGTGCTGTTACAGTGGAGGCGGCCGACTTGGAATGTCGTCCAGAGGAGGGGGGGAGGGGTTATCCCTGGGAGCCGTCGTAGCTCGACTTCTCCATGCTCGACTTGGGGCTGATGTTGTTGGATCGGTTGAAGATGGTGCGACCGAGCCCTCGAAGCTTGCCGCTGGTGTCGACTTGCGGGTCAACACAGTCCAGGAGGACGCTGTTGATCGGATCAACCTTGATTTTGCAGAAAAGTGTCGAGAAAAGATACTGTTCGCCATTGTGGTCGAAGAGAGGAAGGGTGCGGTAGCCAGACTTGAGGCCACTCAGCTTCGCCGTGTACGTTGCGACGGGTGGCTTATCGTTGTATGTCTCGCCGTTGTGCGACAGCTTGACAGACCAGCGAACAAAGATGAGATCTGGGTACTTAGTCGTCACCTTGAAGTTGCACTTGGCATCGAAGACGGGGTTGAAACCGTTCTCGGGGATCACGCCAGTGCGATACTTGAGTGGCGTGTCTGAGACTGCCGAAAGAGCGGGTTCCGCTTCTTTCTTGTTCCTCTTGTCGTTGGCGTGGAAGACCTCAATCTCAACAAAGGGGTCCACAGTCTTGGACGCGGCCATGCCGTTAGGCCGCATCAGCTGCTGGGCTGAAATGACGTCGATGCTGAAGGTCACCTCCTTGCGCTCGCGCTTGCCAGACCAACCTTCGGGGAGCACTTGGATTTCGCGAAGCTCGCTAGGCTTGAGGACATATCCGGACCGATCAGTGCCGCTGTCGAACATGGCCTGGTTGAGTTGCATGCCCAAGTCGAATGTCTGCCAGTTCATGGCGGCCATCTGCACGCCCCTTCGCCAGTAGACTAGAGGATCAAAGTTGGTCGACTGGTATCGGTATCGGTCAGGGTAAACTCGCATCAGGTAGCGCATGTTGTGTCGATCCATGGCCTGCTTCGCCTCTTTGGGCCTGCTGTGCTTTTCAAAACTCGACTCCATGAATGAAAAAATGTGGTTGTACTCCTTCGCGTCAGCTGTGTCGAACCCGCCAAACTTGACACCCGCGCAGTAGACACCAAGGTCGCCGAGGACCTTGACCGTCTTGTTGGGTGAATTCCGCTTCGATGGTGCCCTCTCGCCTGCGCTGTCGTTATCGCTCGTGCTGCTGCTCATGGTGTCCTGGACTTCACCCTCAGTGATGGTGTTGACACGGCTCTTGCTAACCAGGCGGCGCGACGAGTTGCTTGGGCTGAGAAGTGGGCTTTGCGGAAGCGACTGAGACGGGATGACGTTGTTGTCGAGTTGAACAGGTTTCGCATAGGGCGACGTGAGGCTGTTGCCACGCCTGCGGCCGGGTTCGGGGAGTTTTGTTGGCTCCTCCTTCGACATGGGCTTCTTGACCTTGATGAGGACACGCTCCTTAAGCTCCTCGGGAGAAGGAAGCTTATCAGAAGCGGGATCTAGGGGTTCTGTGACGAGGCGGGCCCCAAAGGTCTCCTTGATGATTCGCGCCATGATAGCCTGCTGTTGGGGGTTGCAGTGTACCTCAAGAGAAATCCAGAGGGGGTAACGCGTCTTGACAAACGCGTACTTGTTGATGGTCGTCATGGTCTCCTGGAAACCGATGGATGAGGTTAGCGTCCGGCCGTGGTTGACGGTAGGTTGGCCGTCGGCTCCATCCCAGCAGTCGACCTCGACACACCGACAGCCTCGTGCGAGGGCAGCGATGTAGCCCTCAACGCTAGAGAACCCTGCCACTTGTCTTCCCAGGAGGTACGTATTGTGAGAGCTCGAGATAAGGTACTCGTTCATGGGGCGATCCAGTGTATACTCCTTGGGCTCCTTGGCCAGGGGGACGTTGTACGTTGAAGTGAGATAAGCAGCGAAGGCGGCATCACTCATGCCGAAAATGTCTGATGGCGCGTCCTTGGGCTTGAACTTGCGGGTGAACTTGAGATACAATGCCTCCCATCCGGCGAGGTCGGCATCAACATCCTCTCCCTGTACATTGCGCAGGAAGTCATAGAACTCGTTCAGCGAGAGGCCGGCCTCGGGAGCCCTCGCCGTCTGTAGGTATGA